GTGGCAGATTGAACCTACACAGACGAACTTGTTGCAGCTGGTTGGCGACGGAACGGGCAACAGGATGTGCGCCACGTACTCGCCCATTGGGGCTGGAGAGTTCAAATTCTGGAACATTAAAGCCCGCGACAGCGACACCGTTTACGTGGAAGATGCGTTCCCTGATACCCACCTCACCCCATCGTCACCGTCGCTCTCCGATGTGTGGACCCTGGCGGACTTTGTTCTTTCAACACTTGCAGATGGCGGTATTCAGTTGTGGACATTGTGGAAGAACAATATGACCTACAGAGTCCAGGAGCTGGATCTCAACAGAGACAACATCGCCGAGTCATGGGAAAGCGAGTGGGCGTCAGTCCACATTGACACAACTTATCCCACCGCGCCGACGTCCGGATCCTCTGACCCTACAGACCCGACAGAAAAGTGGTTGGATCTTATCCTCGCCCCTGGCCGCTTCACCAAAGCGACCCTCGAAACAGCTCTGTCCATATACGAGAAGGGGCTTTATTCACAAAAGGAGGGCAGCTCGAAGAGTCAACAAAAGGGCCTGGCAGAGTCAATCTGCTCTGTTCTTGCCTCGACAGCATCCTTGGACCGGAACTCGGCTGGTGGTATGGATTATGAGCAATTCCGTGCTAGCAGCGAGACCCAGTGGAGGAGATTTTACCGTCTTCTGATCGAGTTGGACAAGCAACGTGGCGAAGCAGTTGCATTGGTTCTCGACGCAGAATCCGACATGACGTGGGTTGTGTGTGCCGATGCAATCTCGGCCATCAGAGAATGCAGCTCACTGGAGCGGCTGTACTATAATCTCTCGCGTCCAGATGAGGCCTCGGAAAGGATAGCAAACCTTGTCTCGACGGGCGTCGGCTTCCTCGATGCTATTTCGGACAGTATACAACAGGTCTGCACTGCCGCCCTGCGACCTGAGATTTACGAGGAGACCCCTCGAACGGACTATGAACGACTCCAATACCTCTTTGACGCCACTGCCCTTTGGCGCACTGTAAGTGATGAAGACTGCGCACAGGTCATTGAGAGTCTAGGACAGTCTTACACTGGTGTTACGATGGATCTATACGAAAGCCTCTCGGGTTTGGTTGCGGCTACAGAGGAGTCTGGAAGCCGTAAGGCCCGTCAACCGCTGACCGACTTTGGACGGAAGCTCATTGTCAAGGCTGTTCAAGAGACGATTGATCTGCAGTGGAACATCGTCTTCAGCCAGGTCTTGCTACTGGTACACATGGAGTTCGACTGGGATCAAGAGGAAGACATGCTCTCCAAACGAATTGACGTCGGCGCTGTGTTCAGACAGTTCCTCGAGTCACTTCGTCGGTTAGAGCTGCTTCGGTGGCTCTCCAAGACCGAAATCACCGTTCCTATTGGCAACAAGCACGAGCGCAATGACTCCTTCTCAGGCTCGCCTAGCACCACGAAGAGGACTGCAGAGGAGACGCAGACCGTCACCGCGTTGGAGGGTAATGTCGGTCATCTTCTTGGCTTTGTGGACGGCAGAAACGAACCTTTGGCTACGAGTATCACAGACATCGTCACGGATCTCTGTGCCTCCAACAGCGATATTGAGGTGTCACCTACTCTGATCCAGTGCTCCCTCATCAGAAGAGAGCGGGCCGATCTTGCTCTTCAACTCAACTCCTACTGCGCCCAGACGCCATTCGCCATCTACATCCAGGGCCGTGTTTTCCTTGCGCTTAAAGACTTCGCTTCGGCCGCCTTCCACTTCCGTAAAGCAGCGATAGGCATGAGTAAGTTCAATTTGCCTCTGCTGTGTAGAAAACAAGACTAATGTTAGTGACAGGCGTCAAAGATGTAGATGTTGACCGACACAGCAGCGGGCTGCTTGACGATACCGAGTGGAACCTGCTCAACAAGGGGCCGGCTAGGTATTACTGTCACGCAGTCGCTCTGTTCGAGAAGGTCAAGGCATACTCATATGTAATCGAGTTCGCCGGACTCGCAATTCAATACTCACACGCCAGTCCCGAAGCTGCCCTGGTCAGAAGCGAGATGCTTAGCCGACAGTTCAATGCGGCGACGGTACTCTCACGCTTCGACGTCGCCCATGCTAGTCTGCTAGCCATGAAGGATAAGGCGATGCAGCTCTCCTCCCTTCGCAAGCTTGTCGACAAGATGTGCGAATCGTACCACAACAGCGAGCTCATGTCGCTGCCGTTCCCGGGTCTACAAGACTCGATCGACGACATTCTGGCACAAAGGTGCAAGGCAACGATGGATGTCATGAGCGGCATCCCATACCACCAGATCCTTTACTCCTGGAGGATCAAACACAACGACTACCGCGGCGCCGCTACGGTGCTGCTTGACCGCATCCAAAAGCTGCGACACGCCGGCGAGGGCGATAAGCTCATTGGCGAGGACATTCTCGATACGGCGGTCACGAAGCAGTATCTGCTGCTCATCAATGCCCTCAGCTGCGTCGATCCGAAGCAAGCGTGGATCTTTTCCGAGGATTTGCCGCCTCCCAACGCTTCGAGGGAGCCGACGACCTTCCAGGGCAAGCGCAAGGTCGTTACGTTACCGGACTTGCGCAAGCAATACCAGGACGAACTCGACCGGATCGCAGCCATCCAGAACAACCAGTTTGGATTCGAGGCTGACGATGCAATGGACATTTTGTAAATGGATGAAATGAGCAAAGAAACGAGATCAATAAGTTGAAAGGGCAATGCGGGCCAAACGGGGGAGGGGAGAGTTTACTTCGTAGTGGGTGGAGATGGAGAGAGCATGTGTACAAGTAATCAAGAACGCGCGATCCTGGACCACACAAGAATGATCCAGGACAACCAGATACCTTCACGAATTGCATGCATTGGGTTTTGTTTTTCGGTAATCGGTCAAGGTCCAAGGTAGATGATGAAGAAGAATTTCATTGTTTGTTGTATCAGTGCAGCAGACCCTAGCTTTGTTTACCCCAAACGCCGTGACCTATGCTTAAAACTACGTGGGACGGACGGTTCTTGACGAGGACTTATCCTCTCATTGGCGGCAGCAGCCACATCATACAGAATAACCTCCCCCCCCCCCCCCCCTTCCCCCTATTTCATCAAACAACTCATTACTTATAAACCATGGCGTCATTCTTCAGATACTTCTATGCCTGAACAGACTGGCCCATCAACTTTGGGTTCTCGGGGGCGGCGGCCATGATCATGTTAGGACCGGCGGCGGCGTCCGGAGCTTGGCGGTAGAGAATGATTTCCGACTGCTTGAAATACCGCCGCGCATCTGGTGTTCGATTGTTAGCTTGCATTTAATCAAAGACATAACCATAAAACGGGTGGTTGTGGCTTGCCTTCGTCGATGAGCACGAGACTGAGGTAGTACCGGGTGGAGAACTTCTTGTTCACGTCCCGGAACGTGGGTGTCAGGTCGAAGCCGCCGAGGAAGAGGCGGATGGGGATCGTCTCTCCTCTCGAGGGCGAGCCATCCATAATCTTTGTGCCGAGAGAGTCAGTACGCAGAACCATTGAAAGTTGGAGGAGAGCATTATCCGGAGCCACAAACTCACCTCGAACCGCACCAGGGTCTCGCTCTCATTATACTGATTCGGCGCGGCGCCCGTCGTCTCCCTCCGGATGATGGACAGCTCCATGTGTTTTATCTTGAGGCGGACGAGCAAAAAGTATATGCGCCCGACGATAACGTCCTTTAGGTGGTATTTGGATTTCGAGTACTCAAACTCGATATGGAGGCAGTCCTCGATTCCGACGTCCATCTTGATGGACGAGTTCATCTCGGGGGGTATGCGGTACGAGTAGACCCAAATGTCCTTTTCGCGGATAACGTCGGCCATGCGGCGGGAGACGGTGACGCGGACAAAGTAGCGCAGCTTGACGTTGATGCCGTTGTACGACTCGTACTGCTTCTCGACGTTTTTGAAGTTGAAGTCGAACGTCTGCGGGTGCTGCAGCTCGCCCGGGGCCGCGAGCTCCTGGACGAGGGAGAGGAATTCGTAGTGGTTTCCGCGGTCAAAGAACATTTCTGCGCAGAGGAAAAAGATGGGAGTATTAGTAATGGGCGAAAGGCGGGAGAGGTTCTTGGGGGTCGCTCGCGGAGAAAGACTCACCTATCGTGCCGATGAATTGGACCTTGATGCCGGTGTGTTCTAGCCGCTTGCCGTCCTTGGGTCTGATGGTGACGGCGCCCTTGACGGACTCGCCGTCCATGTACAGCGGCGCCTTCTCGCGCCGGTTCTTGTCGAGCTTGACATCGACCATGGACCGCTCGTCGGCGTCCTCCAGCACAATGTCGATGTCGACGGGGGTTGAGAAGAAGTACGACATCTTGGCTTATGCGGGGGAATGCCCGGATCTCGCGCGATTGTGTGGTTTCGATGCTCGGATATAAAGGGGGCGACGAATCCAAGGTCCCAATGGCTAGTGATCGGTCAGCCCGTCGAGCTTGGAATTTAATGATTAAGTTGAATTGATATCGGGGCGTCGGAGAAGGGGGGTGTCGCGGAGCTTCAAGGCTGACGTATCTGTATCTGTACGTGCACTCACTCGGCTTACGCTGCTCCAGTCGCGCCAGCCCGGGCAGCTATCGAGAAGTGGGCAGCAACTGGAGCTGTAGGGAGTGCATCCTCCCATTGGCCAGTACCGACACGTGACTATGCTAGGCAGTCATCCTCAGTGCTTGAGGCTGGTGACCCGGAGCTGTGGCTGGGGCTCAACGGCCATGTCCCGGACGGTCAGGATCCGTCCTTCTCCACTAGGCCCGGGCAGCCGGGCGGTCGGCCAGAGAATCAATTACGCACAGACCATGGTTTTGCCCTCACGTGCACACAAGCCCTCGCTAGAACTTTTGCACCCCACACCCGAAAATTGAATCGCGACTGCCAGACTCCCCGACTTGGAACTTTTTTGAAAGTGAAGAATTGTCCCTCATCGCCCAACGAACGACCAGTCGCCCAGTAGATCGCCCAGCCGACAGCCCTCCTCCCCCCCGACGTCAAGATGAGATACATCCACTCCCAAGAGAGCCTGACGGTTCCCGAGAATGGTATGTGAAGCAATGCCGTCGTCGTCGTCTCCTTGACGATCGATTTGAGCACACAATACAACGAAAATACTCCTCCCCCACGATGTGGTCCCCTGCGAGCTCCGCCGGGTTTTGAACTTCACGATACTATATCACCTATTTGTCGCCATTCGCACTTCGAGTCTCTCGCCTTCCTCTGTCATGGTCGCAACCTCGATGCCTTTGGCAACATGGTCGCTGGCGCAAAAAATGGAAAACCACAACCACATCACAATGGCAGAGGGATTGGGGAGGCTTGAGGCGGACAAAGCAACATTTGGGTTTTTGGGTTGAAGAGTTTTAGACTGTGGATGAGCTCGAAAGGAGCAGTAGTGGCAGGCAATCGAATGCATGCTGACTTGGATTCTCCAAACAGTCAAGGTTCACATCAAGTCCCGCATCGTCACCGTTGAGGGCCCCCGTGGTAAGTACAAGACTCTCCTCCGAACGCGATATCTCCCGAGACGTTGCGAACGGCCGGCCCTAGCTGTCCCTGCTCTGCGCAAGCAGGGCGCAACGGCTTCAGTGCGGCAGCACCCCTCACCAAACCGATATGGCTAACACCCGTCACCAGGCAAGCTCGTGAAGGACCTGTCCCACTTGGCTGTCAACTTCTCCCAGCCGGTCAAGGGCACCATCAACATTGAGATCCACCACGGCTCAAGAAAGAACGTTGCCACTCTCCGCACCGTCCGCACCCTCATCAACAACCTGATCGTCGGTGTCACCAAGGGCTTCAAGTACAAGATGCGCTACGTCTACGCCCATTTCCCCATCAACGTCAACCTGGAGAAGGACTCCGAGACTGGTCTGTGGGAGGTCGAGATCCGGTATGTTTGCACAATGTTTCTATACCTGATGATTGCGAGAGACTGACATGTTCACTTTAGCAACTTCATTGGCGAGAAGCTCGTCCGCAAGGTCATCATGCGCGAGGGCGTCGACGTCGAGGTCTCCAAGGCCCAGAAGGACGAGCTCGTCCTCTTCGGCAACTCCCTCGAGGCTGTCTCCCAGTCCGCTGCCGATATCCAGCAGATCTGCAAGGTCCGCAACAAGGATATCCGTAAGTTCTTGGACGGCATGTACGTCTCCGAGAAGGGCAACATTGAGGAGGAGGCTTAAATGCATCTTTTTCCACTCAACGTATAATCCCTCTCGATGAATCAATAAAAACGAAGGTATTGATTGATGTATGAGCCGGAGGAGGGGAGCAAAACCAAAACAAAAAGGGTCAAAACAGGTCATGTTTTTCGAGGCAAATGCAAAAATCAAACTGGGGTTTCTGGGTCTTACACACAACACAATTGGCGTGGCCGGGGTTCCATTTTTCACTTTGCATCGTGTAGCGCAGGGCTACCATGAATCACATCAAAAGTCAAGAAGACGTTGCCTGCTCCCCTCTCTGAGCAGTATATCCCACAACACCTCATTATATACCCTACTCGCATGAGACATTTTTCATGGTGAAATGATACCCACTCAGACTTAAAGAACTCTTCCCTGTTGGCTATTTTGTGAGAAAATGTACTTGCGGATTAGGAAAATTTCACACTGTAGACAATGCGTCCACATATCCTGCTTGTGACTGAACGACATGAGCGCAGCTATTTTCACAGTAAGGTGGGATTTCCGTGATGGTGTAGCTCTTGACTCATCTCGTCATCCTGATGAACTAAAAATTCAGCCAAGCTTGATCAGATTATGGCCTCATGAGAGTTGCCATCCTCTCGCTGGACTCTTCACAGCATTTGTCTACTGGCACACACATACCCAATACTACATTTCCTGTTCAGATGCAACGTCAATCGACTGTAGTTCCATACATCCGCCCAGTAGTCCCAAGGTTGAACGACACCAAAAGAAAGAAGGAAAAAAAAGCACGAAATGTCTCTTAACCAAAAGAAATTGACCAGCCTGGGGGTCGAACCCAGAATCTCCTGATACTTTGTCAACGTTTTCCTCGCCCTAGACGAACGAGGGTAAACGCAATCGTAGTCAGACGCCTTGCCATTGGGCCAACCGGCCACTAGCGAATAGTGGGATGAAGAAAAGGACACCGGAATTGGCTCTGTGTTGGCAAATGCTCCACGAGGAGGGCAAAGAAATCTCTTTCCCGAAGGTGGAGATCTCGCGTCGCAGACTTACACCTGGACTTAGACCTCGTATACCCCGACACACGCACACGCAGAGACGTACGCATCAGACGGTCCGAACGCGAAAACGCAGACCGCGCATGGAAAACTCGCTTTGTTCCATGCATGGTCAAACGCGCTCGCAGTGCGCAAGCGCCGCATGTTCATCTCAACTTTGTCGACTCCTACACGGCTTCCCCGAGAAAGCTTCAGCAGTGTGGCTGCATACACTCTTGAGCTTGAAGCAACAACACGACAGGAAGGCGATACGGCAACGAGCAAGTGTTGTAATCAGATGACCCAATCGAAGAATTTAGTTTCCATTCCATGCATTAAGGGCGTCGAGAAGTTTCGTCTATGCCATCAAATCGTTCTGAACATCGTACATGCTATGCGGGTTTTGGAGGATGGGTAGACAAAGTCAGCCACACCAAGGAAAATGAAGTAGGAAACGCTCAATGTCCAAAGAGATGACCCTCCTCACATCCATAGTCTTCGTGGCCATTTCCAAGCCCCTTCGTCACTCTCCACCCAGTTTTCATGTCTCTCGTCATTCTTTCATTCCCCTCTTCGTCGCCGAATGTCTCGTCTCTCGTGCCTTGTAGTTTCCATCACCGTGCTATCAAAAGCCCGGTGGGATTATGATTTCCCCCCTTAACGCCAAAAAGAAAAATAGAAAGCAATAATACCAATTTATGTACGTTCAAAGCATGTTCGGGGCTTCCACCGCCTTGTAAAAAGGCAGCCGACAGCATATGCAATTCGACCGAGGTCGCCAAAGAACTTGGGGTGCTACCTCCGTGAGTGGCGCGTCGTGTGTGTGCCGCGTGTGTGGCCGGTGCGGTGAGTTCTTCCGCCCGAGCTAGAGCTGCCTAGGTAGGACGTCAGATCCGATCGATCCCGAGAATCCCATGAAGACTCACTGGGACTTGTCCCCGTGTACGAGTAGTACGAGTCGGTGTAGCTTGACCGAGGCTTGGCCTTCGGCTTGTCCTTCTTAAGATTCAAGAGCGCCAACATGGTTGCTGCGGCGGCTCCCAGGCCCAACCACTTGGCGCCTTCCTTCTTCTCTTCCTTGCGACGAGCAGCCGGGGCGGGACGACCGCCACCTGCGAACCAGCCGCCGTGCGAGGGGCGACCAGAGTGGGCAGATGGCATGCGGCTGCCGTGACGCGAGTATCTCTCCTCAACCACCTCGACTCGTTCGCGGCTGTGGCTGTGCTCCTTCTTCTTCTTGCCAAAGATGAGACCCCACAGGCCGCGGGCGATACAACAGAAGCAGAGAAGCATGAGAAGACCGAGACCTGCAAGCGTGCCGATAACAATACCGGCGATGGCGCCGCCGCTCAATCCTCCACCAGTACCCTCGTTGGTGATGGGTACGACTGTGCCGGTGCTGGTTGCTGAGGCGGCGGTGCCGGTGGCCCCGGTGCTCGTGATGCGGTAAGGAGCAGAGTATTGGGTGGTGATTGTATGGCCTCCCGATGTAATTGTAGTGACGCCTCCGCCCCAGCCATCGCGCTGAGCGCATTGCCCTGAGTAGGCACAGTACTGGTTGGCGGCGCAGCAAATGCTGCCACAGGCCGTCTCTCCACTACTCTGAGGAACACAGGTGGCCCCGGTGCCTCCCCCAGCTGCCCCTGTTGTCACTGCAGGCCAGTTTGTCGATATTGTGCTGGTAAAGGTGTTCGTCTCAGTCCATGTCGTGGTGTAAATGCCGTAGCCTCCACCTCCGCTCACGGTGCTGCAGCCAGCGATGTTGTTAACGGTGTAGCACTGCTCTCCGGATCCACAGCAGTACTGAGAGTCGGCTCCACAACGTTGAACGCAATCGCGCTTCATAAATTGGTCGCCCAAATTGTAAAAGAGGTTGTTTGCGACATTTTGGAGAGGATAAGGGTGGGCGAACACCGGAGTGGGGGCGTACACCAAGAGAAGAAGGCCGGCGACCAGAGGGGCCGCTGCCGACTGCTTGCGCAATGCCATTATTTCTGGCGGAGACCGCTGCTCGGCGTCGTCAATTGCCAGGAATGCGCAAGGCCGGGAAGACGGCGAAGTGAGAATGTAAGTCGGCTCTCACCGCGATGGCCACTTTTGTTCCGTCAATGGCGATATCGAGAGGTCCTGTCTTGTTTCGTAGCCTCGTGGGCGCCCCAAAGATTGCGAGAGTGAGGAATGTTGTAGCGGTAGGATGAGGTATTAATGATTGGCGGGGAATGAGAAGAAGAGGGAGGGTAAGCTGATAGTATAGTCGAGGTGTGATTGAGTGGTCGCGGTGTGAGCTGGCCAACCTTAGCCTGTTAGTGTGCAGAGGTATTGGCAGGGACTGAGAGCTTGGAATGTGATGATTCTTGGGTTAGATGGGAAGAAGGAACCAAGAAGTCGGGAAGAATGAAACCTGCAGGTAAGTTTGATTTAAGAGAGAGAGGGAGAGATTGAGAAGGCGCTGACTGACGGGAGTGTCGTATTACTTGGTTTGGGCAGTGGGATTGTCTTTTTTTCTTCTTGGCCGTTGCGCGGGTCGATTCCCAACCTCCCTGAAGTCCAACCTCTTGATTTTGCTGCCGCTGTCACCAGGCGCACCCACACTTCTGACACCCACAATACTACCCTCAAATAATGCAAAGTTCCGCAGGGATCTAGCTTCACCGATTAGTTTCTGGCCAATCTCTGACGAGGGTGATTGTGAAGATTCCTCTTGAGTGCGCGATTCCGTCACACTTGCTGCTTCTTTTTCTGTTCTTGTTCCTGAAGATCGGGCGCCGAGATGTGGTTCCCCCTTCACTTAGACCAAGACACCCGGGACAGACGAGGGTTATAAGTGGCCTAGTGCGGGGAGATGCCTGTATGAGTTGGCAGAAACGGGTCGTTACTCGCTGATGGTACCTTCGTGACTGGCCCGGCCCAGAGCGCCTTGGTTCCCACTTGTTTACCTGCAGGGGTCGGTCCGTCCACTGGACGACAATCGATAGGCAGAGAAAGCCTGTTCCAACCCAACTGTACTCCGTACGAATGAATACTCGTGGCCGTAACAATAGAGGTGCGATTGTTTGCCCTGTCGTTTGTCTCTCCCGCCGGGCAGGCCCCGTCAGGTACCGTTTCGCAGGCTTGTCACTCGCAACCGAGTAACGCAGCTAGCGAGCTCCTTCCTTGCTTACTCTTGCCATCTGGTGCCTTGCAACCATTGGCAGGGACGCTTGTTAGCCCATCGTGAGCTGCTTCAATGAGATCATGCTCATTTCCGCGCTGTCACATTGGTCTCCGTGTACGGAGTACCTCGGATCTAGTGCAGTGGTCATGACCTCTCGTGACAGAAGTTCTAGGGCAGAGGAAACGGTCTTTGACTCGTATAGGGCAGATTGGCAGCGCCATGACAGCTCTTGCGCTGGCTTCTGGCACCACGACGAGATCTCGGCAGGTGTCAGTCCGTGGGTTCCGCAACTTTGACGGCATCAAGTGTGCAAGTGAGCCCGACCGGCGGGATGGGACTCCGCGGCACCCAGGAGGGGTCATCGCCAAGTAGGCCGTGAAGTTCTGGCTAGTGACGCCTTTCAAGATTCAAGGGACTTCTTTTCCGTATGTGCCTTGCATATTGGCGTGGGCCAGTCTTTCGTACAAGGGTCGTTCGTGTAGAGGGAAAAAAAGAAAGATGAGCAGTATTCAGCTTCATCTGGCGAGCCGAGTACCAACGATAGCTGCACTTGGGGAAATCGGGTGGTTGGGAACCGGGGCAACTGGGTCGTAGTGCTATTTGAAGTGACAGAGCGTGTAAGACCAAGAGGGCAGTGAGCCAAGCTTTAGGAAGGATTCAAGTGGATGTGATTGAGGAAAACGCACCGCCACAACGCTCAATCGAGTGGATCATCTTCATTGGCTAAGTAGAGCTTTGGTGGGTCATTGGAGCTGCCACATGTGGCTTATGTAGAAATGGACCTCAAGCCAATCATATGCCATGAGCCTGACGCTGTGACTTGAGCAAGGAAGTGACCCAAAAACTGGGCGGGCGCGGCTGCGGGCCTGCGGCTGCGGCTTGAGAGCATTACGTTCGTCAGACAGCTTCCCGCCGCAACGACCTGCGACCCTCAGCACCGCCGAATCCATCCACACCGTCCATCTCCAAACCCCCCCTCTCGGCGACATAGGTGCATCTCGAATTCAAAAAGCCGCCCGGGTCGCTACTTCCCTCGACTCGCCGCCATGTCTCTCGATCCTCCCACCTACCTGGCCTCGCTGCAGAACAACATCCGCCAGCGGCCAATCCCCTGGGATGGCGCTGTTAGAGCAGGCACCATCACAGAGGACCACCTGGCCCGCATCCGCGCTGTTGATAAGGCGAAGAAGCCCGAAGCTCGGAAGGAGATTGTAGAAGGAGATCTCGATGGCTACCGCTCCCTCTTTGTTGGTGAATCCGGAAAGCCCTCGGTGATCGAGTCCGCAGGCAAGCAAGCCAATGTCGTCCAGTATATCCTCGTCCTCTTGGCGGACCTCTTGCCCAGTACGTTCTATACCATTTCCCACTGATTCGCCAGCCTATGACTTTGGCTAGACTCTCCCTATCCTGCCCTACTTGTCCTTAAGATTAATATATCTTGACGATCGATTCATATGCCTCTATCCCGCTAATGCTGTCGTCTTCCCAAATAGGTGTACCGTCACTCTCGAAGGCTATTTTCAAAAACACCGACCCCTACAAGCACTTTCTACCTTTGCTCGCCCACTCGAATAATACCGAGGACCCTATCCCCTTGCTCACATCGACGGCTCTAACCAAGCTCATGTCGCTCTCATTGAACGAATCGCAGGCGACCCGAAACGCCATTCCCGTGCTCCTCTCCTACCTATCTGGCCTCGCGAAGAGTTCTGATGCAGGCCTTCAGGATATCGCGGTCCAGGAATACTCCTCCATTCTCTACGGACACGCCGCGAGACAACAATTCTGGAACCAAAGAAGCGAGACGATTGCGCCTCTGATTGACATCCTCAGAACAGCAGCTGGCATTGGCAGCAACGGCAGCTCCTCGGCAAGCATATGGAGCGGAACCGCGCCCACAAGAAACGCCGGATTTGAGGGTTCGCTCGGCGGCGGTGTTGGTTTGCAATTGCTATACCATGTACTACTGGTCATCTGGCAAATGAGCTTCGAAGCCGAAGATATTGGTGACGAGCTTAACGAGTAAGTACACTCTAGTCGTATGGCTTTCACAAACTGATCATGTTCAGCGAGTACGATATTGTCTTGCTGTACACCCAGCTTTTGCGCCTCTCTCCCAAGGAGAAGACGACCCGATTGGTTGTTTCTACCCTTTTCAACTTGCTCAGCAAGAATCAGAAATCACTCCTCCCTACTGCAGTCCTTGCGCGACTACCTGCGCTCCTTGACAACCTGAGCGGCCGCCACCTGACAGACCCTGACCTACTCGAAGACGCACAAAGTCTCAAGGAACTTCTCGAGGAGTACACCAAGACAAAGACAACCTTTGACGAGTACGTCGCTGAGGTCGAGTCTGGTCACCTCCGGTGGTCACCGCCTCACAGAAGCCAGGTTTTCTGGGCCGAGAATGCGCGCAAGATTTTGGAGCACGAGAACGGAGCTATTGCGCGCCAGCTCGCCGAGATTATGAAGAAGCCGTGGGAGAACGACAAGGCAGTCCTGGCTATTGCATGCAACGATGTTGGGGCCTTGGTTAAGGAGGTGCCTGAGATGAGATACAAGCTGGAGAAGCTTGGTCTCAAGACCAGAGTTATGGAGCTAATGGGAGAGTCGGACGAAAATGTCCGTTGGGAGAGTTTGAAGGCATTGGGTGGCTGGTTGAAGTACAGCTTTGACAACTAAATTTGTTTGCGGAGCAAGATCAAACAGTATGGCTATTGGCTCACGCTCTGTGTATGTATAAACGGGGGATAGCATTACCCAGGCAGTTTAGAGTGGACCAGGAGTAGGTCGTTCCCGCATATTCCATTGTTTTTTTGTTGGTCAACGCTCTCGGCCGAAATCGCGATGTGTGCCCACAGATATCTCGAGTCTGTGGATGGAACACGCCATACGGTGATGATCAGTCGAGTAGGACACTGGCACTTTGACGCGGAGCCAAGGCACAAATAATACCATTGATGAGCATCGTGGGATGTTTCTTTTGGTCCCGGGGAGGGTGATGGAGGCGTACGATGTGCGGATACAGGTGACCGCAAATCCGCGACGGCGGATAATCACCCGAGGCGGCGAGGCCCGCCAGCCATCTACATAGACATACGCAGTAAGGTACTTTACCTTAGTACTGGCAACGTCAGGGGTCAATTCGGCCCCTCGTCTCTTGAATTTTCCAGCTAGCCAGCCCAATGGGAAGGGTGGAGCTATGCTTAGGTAGGGAGGTACCTAAAATAAGGGGTGCGTTATGTACTCCGGAGCTTATCATACGGGCGGTACGTGCCCGGCGGGGTTGACGTTTGGCGTGGGGTGGCGCGACTGCGACCCCTCAATTATTAGTGATTCTAGATCCCAGAATATCCCAGAATGTGGGAAGATCCCAACAGAAACTCCACCTGAAAGAGCTCTCGTGGTTCAGGGTCCATAGCTTACCACAGCTTCCGGTCGCATGTCCGATCGTGTACCCTCCAACCCTTTTCCAAACGCCGAAGAGCCGTTCAGTGCCCACGAACAAAACCAGACACACCCGCTCTCGCATCCGCCGCCCACGCACACCTCTCTCTATTTTTCCCTTCTCAAATCACCACAAAAGAGACACACACAAACACAAACGAAGCACAGCTTTCTCTCTCTCTGACTGCACTCGTTGCCTACCTACTTGCACAATGGCGCCCAAGGCAATCATAGCCCCGTCGATTCTCGCGGCCGACTTTGGCCACTTTGGCCATGCGTGCTCCAAGACCATAGAGCAAGGCGCTGACTGGCTTCACGTCGATATCATGTACGGAGACCATACCCCGCTAGAAAAAAAATCAGCACACAAGCATCTTGCGACCGCTTTTCTGGAAAGCCGATCGCAAAGGACTTGTTCTCTTATCCGAGCCGAGCCGTGGCTAACTAACATGGTTTTCTAGGGACGGCCACTTTGTGCCCAACATTTCATGGGGACCCGGTGTTGTCGCCAAGATCAGAGGTCATGTTGAGAAACCCATCGAGGCATGGGGAAAGGGCACATTTGACTGTCATATGATGGTTTCCGAGGTAATTGCTTTCCCTCTGCCCTGGGCTAATGTTTTTGGGGTCGCCGAAAGTCCATTTGCGGTAACCCGGCATATTACAACGCGCCTACTAACGCATCCGTCGATTTAGCCCAAGAAATGGGTCAAGGGCATGAAGGAGGCCGGCGCAGACCTGTACTGCTTCCACTACGAGGCCGCATTTTCCTCCGATTCCGACAACCCAGAGGTCCAATCCGACGAGAAGACGAACCCCCGCGCCCTGATCCGCTACATTCACGAGCAGGGCATATTAGCCGGCGTGGCTCTGAAGCCCGCAACCTCGGTCGACGTTGTGTGGGAGCTCCTCGAGAGTGAAGACCCACTCGAGAGACCAGACGTGAGTTATTGCCCTTTTTTTTCTTCTTACGAGCAGCTGTTACACACACCACAAGATGGGGTCTCCGCGAAGGCGCATTAGGCTGACAGGGGGTTCTCTCCACAACCGCAGATGGTCCTGATCATGACAGTCGAGCCCGGTTTCGGCGGACAGAAGTTCATGGCCTCTGAGCTGCCCAAGGTCCAGGCCCTCCGCGAGCGGTACCCGGAGCTCAACATCGAGGTCGACGGCGGCCTGACGGGTTCCACCGTCGGCCAGGCTGCCGACGCGGGCGCCAATGTCATCGTTGCTGGCAGCGCTGTCTTTGGTGCCCAGGACCCCGCAGAGGTCATTAAGATCCTCAGACAAGCCGTCGAGAAGAAGACTGGCAAGCTCTGAGAGAGATCGGAATCGGAGTCCCCACACCACCAAAACCCCGACTTTTTCTCTCACGGCCACGTTTTTACGACTTTTTTCCTTTTTTTTTGTTGGTATTTCTGTCCTCTATAAAAAGCTATGGGAGCCATGATTTATGTTCAGCGTATATAGATATCAGACGGACAGCAACTTTCCGGTGGTATGCCGGAGTTACAGGTCTTTCTAATCCTAATTCTATCACATTATACACTATTATTTGGTCTTTTGTTGCAATGCCTTATCCAAGGCCGCAATAAACCCCTTGATTTCATCGACTATGGCTGATTAGCATAACTCACAGGTTGGATAAGGTGCACACATGACTCACGGCTGTTGTAATGCACCATGCTAACCCGAATAATGCCGTCGGCAGGGTCGAGTTGCAGAATCTCTTTGATCAGCCGGTACGAGTAGAAGTGGCCCCATCGGAAGGCAAACTCGGACTCGTTCTCTACGGCATTGACGAGGTCCTTGGTGCCCCACCCCTGCACTCGGAAGCTGATTGTCGGAACGCGGCGGTCGGTGCCGGCATCGGTCTCGCCGTAGATCGTCACGTCGCCCCGGCCGTTGAGGTACTCGAGCAGAGTAGTCTGGAGCTGCCCCTCCTGCTCGACTTTCCCCCTCCAGCCTTGGGAGTCGGGCGTGCCCAGGTACTCCAGCACCCGCGGGACGGCCGAGACCAGCTCGTAGCTGCCGCCCGCGAGCCCGAGCTTCCCCTCGAGGGACTCGCTCGGGTTGAAGAAGTGGCCGATGGAGCGCATGTGCGCGTCCTGCGCGGCCCGGCTCGCGTACAGCATGGCCGTGTGCGGGCCGTAGACCTTGTACCACGAAAATGCGTAAAAGTCGACGCCGAGGGCTTTGACGTCGATGGGCCGGTGCGGGGCGTAGGCCACGCCGTCGACGCAGACGAGGCCTTTCGGGGTGGAGGCGTGGACGAGGGAGGCTACGGAGGCGATGTCGTGGATCGTGCCTAGGATGTTGCTCGCGTGCGTGAGGGTTACCAGGCGGGTCTTGTCCGAGAGTAGGGGCTTCAGGTTCTCTGTTGTTAGCTTTGGGTTCGTTGTCGAGGATGCGTCTGTGGGCTTCCACCACTTTAGCTCGAGTCCTTGGCGGGCGGCGAGATCGACCCAGGAGGCGATGTTGGCTTCGTGGTCGACTGCTGATACGACAATTTCGTCGCCCTTGTCAAAGGTGAAGGTGTGGGATAGGTTGCGGAAGAGCTGAGTTGTCGAGGCACCAAAGACTGCCCCCCCTTATGTTAATGTTTCTGTCACAAATAAGTGTTGGACATATTGATTTACCGATTTCGTCAGAGGATGCGTTGATGTACTTTGCGCCGGCCTGATAGCCTTCGCCATAGGAGGCCGTCGCCTTCTGGCCGACTTTGTAAGACGCGCCTAGCTGGACGTTGCTTTGTATGAGATAGTCCCGGATGCTGAAGCGTCATGTGAGCGAGAGTTGAGCATTTGAGTTTGGAGAGTACAGGGGACATACGACTCAATGACTGTGGCCAGCGTCTGACTTCCACCTGCATTATCGAAGAAGACCTGGTCTTGGCCCAGGGCAGGGAACTTGCTTCTAACAGCAGCGATGTCTATCTGGGATGCCATATTGAATGCCTTGTATTGTCTGCTGAAGATGTACAAGATAATTTCAATATATGTAAGAAATTATCACAGTTTAATAGAAAGTTGAGAGGAAATGAAGTTATCGTGATGGAAGCAAGTCAAAGTATTAAAGATGTGAGATTACGATAGCTGTTGCGGGGCAGGGCGTAATGGACGTAAAGGACCGGGTTCAGATGATTAGGGAACTGCCCAATTGAGAAGTGAAGCGGCCTTGGAAAGCCCGCAATTTACAGAAAGCCAATTGATCTAGTGTTTCCATGGATGCATGACGTTTTGCAGTGCGGGCGAAGGAACAACCTCAGTGCGGTGCTTGCTCGTGGGCGGGGGAGGAGAGGAGGATAGAGGGGCAGCGCGAGAGGAGGAAGTGTGGGGCGCGGGGTTTCGGCGGTTGGGCCCGGCTCGCCCGAAGCTTGCCCGCCCGCCGTGCCATCTTCCCGTCCGGCTTTTGGGTGAAAGAGCTTCCGATGCCAAGCGCCGTTGCACACTTTCATCGCCAATCCTTGATTACGGTTTCCTTTAGCCAGAGAAATGGTTCCTGGTCTGCCAATAGATTAAGAGGGAATTGAGAGAAGTTGAGTTGAGGTGACTGCCGCTTATTTGACTCCCACCCTCTCTTTTATGCATTGCTTCTGGAAGACGCAGCTCATGCAAACCTCAAGCGCCAGGAGCGAATCGTGCAGGTCTGGTCTGTCTGAACACCGGCATTGGCTGTCTCCTCGCCAGCCTGGCGGTACTCAATGGCTGCGCAGGAGAGCCAAGCAACCGGCGCTTGCACCGTTATGCGGATGAGTTTCTGGACAATCCAGTGTGTGAACAGAGAGTCAATATTCTTGCCAGCTCTGATCATTGGCCACGCCGGCACTGTAGGGCGGTGTACCCAGAAGCTCCCCCGACGGGACCGTTAAAGTGCCCCCGCCATCTGCTGAGCGAATGCTCATGGAGAGGCGCTTTTGCAAGCTTTGCAGGGGCCAACGGTGGGACGGTACTAAGCCCATGGGACGATTTGGCGCGAAAACAGCTGCTGGGAGAAAAACTTTATGTGGGACCTCAGCCCACGTTCGGTTCCGATCAGCGACAGACGGTTCAGCGCTGGGGTCATCACAAAATATTGAAATTCTGGGAGGCTGCCGACAACCTTTCCCCTTCTCTCAACTGTCTCCAAGAGGTTGTCCCTACTCTATCAATCACCCAAGATGAAGCGCAAGGCTAGTTCACGAATCGACGACAAGAGAGCGTCCAAGAAGAAGACCAAGACGAGTTAGCCATCCCTACAACAAGCTCAGCTTTTTTTCCTTGCCCCGATGTCGTCACTAACACCGAACTTTCTTTCGCTCCACGCGCAGCTCTCTCGGCCGATGTCGCAAAGTCGAGATTCCGCAAGGGTCTCTTTGACAAGAAGGTTCACGACGCCTACACGAAGCAGTACGCCGAATCGAGTCCCTACAAGCACTCCGTCATCGACGGCCTCGTCGACGACGCCCTCCTGCGCTCCGTCCGCGACGAGATTCGCGAAAACGTCTCCTTCACCCCGAAAGAGACCGACATCTACAAGATCCACCAGTCGGGCGACCTCGCCAACCTCGACGGCCTCGACGATGACGCCCTCGCCAAGCTCCCGAGCCTGCTGTCGCTCCGCGACGCAATCTACTCTGAGACTTTCCGCGACTACGTCTCCCACATCACCGGCTGCGGACCCCTGAGCGGCCGCAAGACCGACATGGCCATTAACGTCTACACCCCCGGCTGCTACCTCTTATGCCACGACGACGTCATTGGCAGCCGCAAGGTCAGCTACATCCTCTACCTCACCGACCCGGACACGCCATGGAAGCCTGAGTGGGGCGGCGCCCTGCGCCTGTTCCCCGTGCTCGAGCAGGAAGGCAAGGACGGCGAGATTGCAAAGACGCCCGCGCCGGACCACTCCAAGGTCATCCCGCCCGCGTGGAACCAGCTCTCCTTCTTCGCCGTGCAGCCCGGCGAATCCTTCCACGACGTCGAGGAGGTCTACCACGCCGGCACGAAGGCCCAGCTCGAGGCCGAGGGCGGCCGCGTCCGCATGGCCATCTCGGGCTGGTTCCACATCCCCCAGATCGGCGAGGACGGCTACGTCGAAGGCGCCGAGGAGAAGCAGGTCAAGAACTCGGGGCTCATGCAGCTCCAGGGTAACCCGGACCAGCACGACACACCGCAGGCGCGGCCCGTGAAGGTGGACAAGCCCAAGGCCAGCCTCGAAGGGTTCGATGAGGCTGGGCTCGAGTTTCTGCTAAAGTACATTGCGCCGACGTACCTTACCCCGGATACCCTGGAGCAGATCTCGGAGCATTTCGAGGAGAACTCGAGCATCACGCTCCCCAACATACTCTCGAAAAAGTTCTCCGCCAGGCTCAGGGAGTACATCGGATCCCAAGAGAGTGCCGACCACACCCTCCCAGATAACGACAGCGAGGCCATCGAGAAGAAGTCTGCGTGGCGCGTCGCCCGTCCCCCGCACAAGCACCGCTTCCTCTACCAGCAGCCCGCGGGCGCCGACGAGCTGCGCAGCGCGCAGGAGGAGAACCCGCTCACGGAGCTGCTCGACCACCTGCTCCCCTCGCGGCAGTTCCGCGAGTGGCTGCAGGTCGCCACGGGCACTGTCGTGGAGAGCCACGAGTTCCTCGCGCGCCGGTTCCGTCGCGGGCAGGATTATACCCTGGCCACGGGCCACGATGGGAAGCCCCGTCTCGAGTTCAACCTCGGAATTACCCCGTCCAAGGGCTGGGGTGACGAGGAAGAGGAAGAGGAGGAGAAGCCCGAAGAGGAAGAGCAAGAGGAGGCAAAGCCCAACGGAAAATCATCAAAGAAGCGCAACAAGGGCAAAGGTAAAGCCAGAGCCGAGCCCGAGCCCGCGCCAGAAGAAAAAGAAGACGAAGAAGAGACAGAGGTCGGCGGACACGAGGTCTACATGGCGGGCGACGACGGCGAAGAGGACGAGGACGCGGCGATTTACAAGTCGTCGGGCGACGACGACAACATCCTCTTCTTCCAGGCCGCCGCGTGGAACAAGCTCACGCTCGTGCTCCGCGACAGCGGCACGCTGCGGTTCGTAAAGTACGTCGGGCGCGCCGCCAAGGGGGACCGGTGGGACGTCTCGGGCGCGCTCGATATCGAGGATGAGGACGAGGAGGGCGCGAAGAATGGTGGTGGTGGTGTTGATGACGGGGAGGAGTCCGAGGAGGAGTGGAATGGGTTCTCCGATTCGCCTGCTGCGCAGACGAGCGATAGCGACTGAAGAGTTTGGCCCTGATACGTTGTGTGGGTGGGTGTATACACACGTAATGTACATCTCGCCTGATGTTTTGGTTTTAGGGATTTACACGGCTAGACACAAAAAGTTATGAGTTACAATACATGATTGTCCCAATCGCAAACCTCATCCCTTGTGTTGACATGATGACATAGCCTGGACGATAGGCGTAAGCCTGGATGATGGATATGACAGACGTTCAAAAGCCCCTTGCCAGGACAGTACTGGTGCGATTCGATTCGCAAAGATGCTATAAAAGAAACACGAAGATGTGAATCTACTAGCAACTCGAATTTCCTACAGCTGAAAAGATAAAAATAAAAACTCATAAGATTCCGCTACCCTTTGCCCATGCGCCCCCCATAAAACGCCTCTGTTTCTTTCAAATACAAAGTCCTTGCCCATATGACGAGTTCCAAAAAAGTCTAGCAAATGCTTATAATGCAGCTTGCGACGACAAGAACTAATGACCAGTGCATCTCGCGCGCTTTCTAGCTCTCATGCTCTCTGTCTCAATCGTCCTCTAAAACTTCTTCAACTTCTTCTGGGGCACCGTCTTGATGAACGCATGCTTTAAGAAATGCAGCCACACCTTGTTGTGCTTCTTCTTCTTCTTCTTTCCACCCTTCTTACCCTTCTTGCCTTTCTTACCCTTCTTCTTCTCTGTTTCTACATCTTCATCTTCGTCATCTTCATCGTCGTCGTCTGCGTCGTCATCATCCTGCTCTTCGTCTTCAACCACTTCCTTCTTCTCGTCTAATGACTCTTCTTCTTCTTCTTCTACGTCTTCTACGTCGTCGTCATCGTCTTCGAAATCCTCAGCAAGTGCTTTTCCTTTGCCCTTCTTAGCATTCTCCTTGGCGATGCGGTTCGCCAGCTTGACGTAACTGCGAACGGTCAAGTCTGATAGCTTGTAAATCTTGTCGGTAAAGGTACTGTATTCAACCTCGAACGCAAAGGGGCGCGGCTTGGGCTTCTTGGACTTGGGATCCTTGTCCTTGTGGATGCCGTCACGCCACTTGTTCCCAGATGCGTCCTTGCTTTCGTGCGTCATGTCGTTGTTGAGGTAGGTCAGGTTTGCAAAATACTGGGTGTATCCAAGGAGGGTCAGTGGCTGAGGTGCGTAGGCTGGGCCGGGGCCGGTGCCTGCAGGCGGCGGCTGAGGGATGACCAAGTTGGGGTCCTTGGGTTTTGTCGGCTTCTTTCCCTTTTTGCCCTTGTTGCCCTTCTTCTTCTTCTTGGCGGCGTCGATTTCGCGCTTCAATTCTTCGTGAACGGGATCTTCGTCCGACGGGAGTGCTAGAGCGGGCACAGAGTTGGTGAACGAGTCGGTCCAGACCGCAGCGTCCTCGAGGCCGGAAATGTTGTACTCCACGACACGGAGCGTGGGGAAGTAGTTGGGGACGATACTGGGGCCGACGAGAGAGAGGTGGTATCGCTCTGCGTACTTGCCGCCCAAGTCCTTTCCTGGCTTCTTCTTTTTCTTCTTCTTGTCCTTCTTGCCCTTTGCATCCGACTCCACAGTGTCTTCCTCCTCGAGAGCCTTCACGTTGACAGCTGGCAACTTTGCCCAGCCTTCCCGCAATTCTGTGAGATAGTCCTGTGCCGATTGGATTTCGAGTTCATCCTCAAAAGCTTCGCGCCCGACGTCGTCGTCTGCCGCGAAACCACCCAAGATGTTGATGTCGATCTCCTTGGTATCGTGTACAATGAAATGATCAATATTCATGTGGCCATAAAGCGAACCAACAACAACATCCCGATACTGCTGCATCCAAAGGTTGTACTTTTGCCAGCAGGTTTCATCCCAATTCTTCTTGCTGTCGGTCCGGGCCGGGGGCACGTGGCCCATGAGGATGGCCTTCATGCCGCGTTCGCGGAGGAACTCCAGCTGCACGCGAAGCCATTCCATTTGCTTAAAACCTGGCTCGGACGGCTGTTGGCAGTCGTCGACACCGGCATTTCGGTCGAAAAAATACAGTGTGTTGAGACTGAAGACGGCGAGCTTCTTAGGAATGACCTCGGTGTAGAACCAGCCTCCAAATTCGAAAGAGTGGCGTTGCTCCTCGGGGATGAAGCGCTTCCAGATCTCGGCATAGTATCCTAACCACTTATTGGGCCCTGGCAGGAGGATATTGTGCGGTAGAATGTCATTGTTCCCAAATGTCGGAATGACAGGCACGGCCATTTTCGAGGAGTCTTTCGGGTCACCAAACGTCTCCGCAAACTTGTCGGCGATCCATCGATTTGTGCCGAGCACCTGGCCCGGGCTACGAGGAATGCTCTCATCGCTGTCGTGGCGCGCAGAGTCGCCAGTCCAGATGACGAAATCAATGTCGTCTACAATATTCGCGGCGATCCAGTCAAAGGTCGCGTTGACGAGGGAAGATGGCGTATCGCAGTCGGAGGTTTCTGCGCCATAGTAGCCGGCGGGTCCATCGCCAGAATGGCACGCGACGCCTTCTTCGGTAGATGAGTGGGTTTTGTAGAATTGATCGGGGTGAAAGTCTACGAGGGCACAACAGTTATTAGCATTTGGTGTCGTCCCACGTCAAGCACCAAGCAGAGAGCGGTTCGCCTCATGCGCCTTGCCTGAGCGTCGCGACTGCATTTCTGCCATGCTGATCGTAACGCCCGTGGGTGTCGTCGGGTAGCATCCAAACGTACCAGTAATGTGTAGAAACTTTCCACTTAGACGTCGAGATCCTTCTTGTGCGACTGTTTCTGCGACCTCTGAACCAATGACGATTTGTTGGTGCCCGCTGGCGACAGGTGTTGCAATGACGCCATGCAGGAACAACTGCTGGACCAGGGCGAGCTGCAGAGGCAGGGCGGCGCCCACTATTGCGGGTAAAGACCGCATTGCTGGGGAGGAGCTGAAGAGGCGCGCGGTACCTGGTTCGATGTTTCTATGGTTCTGACGCACGCAGGCACGGCAGCCGGTTGAAAGGGTGATGATGTTGTTTGAAAAAGAGAAGACACCGTCGCAACGGGGGGGTTCGGAGAGACTGAAAGTGGGAGTGAGAAAGAAGACGGGGGCCAATTCAAGGTTATTAAGTCATGATTTTCCCTTGGCCGAGCTTTGGCTGTCCCCGTAGAAAAATAAATGGAAGCGCGAGCGACGTCTGTCTGGATCAATGGACAGGGTCTGTCTGACTTGGTTTGCTTGGCTTGGCTGTGGCCGTGACCTGGACTTTTTTTTCCAGGGCTCCAGGGCTGGGGCGAGGCGGTAAGCAGGGGACTGGGCAGCTGGAGTGTTGCTGGAACACCACCTTTGGGAATGCTGTCAGACGTGAGCGGTAAGGTACAGATATGTGTGAGCGTGAAAGCGAGAGCATCCGTACCCAAGGTATAATACACGATGACACCGTTGGAGACTGAGAGAAGAGAGGGAGGGCGCAAGGGTCCACGTCACAGTTACAGCTCTTGGGAACAACCCAGCTGGTCAACCTTGCTTCGTAGGCGAGTAGGCACCCGACTGGACGTAGGGAATCGCGGCTGGTAGGTGACCCTGAATAAATAACACCGGCTGAACTTGAGGGGTGATCCTCCCGCACGCCAACCGCCTGGCTTGCCGTGCTTGCGTTAAGTTGATGGTCGGTTTTTGCAAGTGGGAAAGTGATGATGTCCGGTGGCGTCCAATGGTTGCATGTCCCTGCTGACTGACGGCTGGGCAGGGGGAAAGAAAAGTCGGTGATGGTGGCACTGGTGAGAAGGAGGCAGCATCAACAACCAACAGGTGCCCCTTTTCTGTCTGAGCCCGGGAGGAGCATGACTTTTAATGTACTTGTCCGCTCCTTCCGACGACCACAACGTGTCCTGGTGTTGGCATCTCATGCCTTTCACTGCCACGACTGCCTCACACGACGATGCAGCAAGGAACATGATTCCCCGCCTTCCCTTTCGTGTGCGTTGCAACTTACCTTACTTACATGCACGCAAGTCGCTGGAAACACCGCAAACAAGACCATCAAGGTCCATGGCCGACCAGAGGTGAAACCCTCACTGGATGATTATCATCCCGAGTCCACCCCCCATCTCCATTCTCCATCCAGATCTCCAGCACTAATCCACGGAGCACGATGGCCAGTCCACAAGGCTGAAAGCTTCAACCTCCAATCCGCAGCCAATCGAGCTGCAGCACTCCAACACGTGTGTTTTTTTCCACGACACCCACTGCCCATCGAAACATCATGGGCTGAGACAACCACCCCATCCCGCGATACTCCATCACTGCATCAGCGAGGTTGCCGCCTGGTAGCGCCGCACACGAGCCAGTGCCGAGTGCTGAGGCGTCCTAGGGCCTCTGACTGTCCCCCGTGGACCACCTGCTACCTATTCAATCCTCGGATCCTCCCCCTTGGAGCGTGGTACCTAGACGTCGTCAGACTGAGAGTGTGACCGTCAATATGCACAAAAGTCCATAATGCCTCATCCTGGGGTGGGCTGGTTGGCGCGAGTCAATCCGGCACTTACTCCAACCCGTCGCTTGATCTGCCCGCTCCCCATCGTGGGGCCGCGTGATACCCCGATATACCACATACCCATGGTTTCTCAAAGTGTTCTACATCTCGTCCTCCTGGAAGTGCCAAGGTAAATCCTTCATGATGCATCTCCAGGCAGGTCGTTGCGACCTTCAGTCAGATATCATTGTAGATTCGGGCCGTGTCTGGTCCCCTGCTGACACCTTTGCGCTGACGTCATATCTAAGAGAGCCGTCAAACTCTCGCTCTCATGTTTGCTGGTTGATCCCTTGCGCTCGGTTTAACATAGAGAGATGCTGACGGAACAGAATGTTTGAAATGCAAATGAAGGCTCACCGCATCACATCACATGCACTCGTGTTGTAGGGAGCTGCATAGTCACTCTCATGCGGTGTGTTCCCCTCAGATGGTCAGTTGACTGATTGTCGAATTCGATCCTTTTTAAGGGGTCCTGTCAACCTAGCGGCAGGACGAATTTGAGGTTGAGCGTGATTGGATTGGATTCCTGAAGACCAGTTCTGTGAGTACGTACTGTCGTGCCATGCCCACGTGACCTCAGCAGATCTCAACAGCTGGCACCGCCTGGCTGCTGGATGTTCGGAATGTGCAGATAACGTGACCAGCAGTCCTGCGTGGCAGACAGTGAATGAAGCAGTACGCAAGGCTGATGCACGGTGTTTATAGAAACCAGGATAGACATGGCGATCGGAAGCCTCGATAAAGCGCCCCAGACTGAGAAATTTGATAGAGCGCTTGCTCGGTGAGAAAAGTCGTAGAAATTCTCGGACGAGTCGGTCTCCTGTCGTTAGTGATTGTCGTCATGGCAAGAAAACACCACGATAGCATCATCTAGCGATGTCCTCCTGGCCAACCACGAACAGTGTAATAAGGGCTGATTACACGGGATGGCCGAGGCAAAGCCGTAAAGGGTAGCAAAGCGCCGCTGCGCCGGTCCTTGCGGAAGATGGCCGTAGCCTCTCTGGGAACCTTAGGAAGCCGCGATTGATGGAAAGGGCGGGGGGCCGCTTTTTGTAGTATCGCAGAGCAATCAGCATCGTGAGGATGTTAAGCGACAAGCTCGGGCGTGCACTCGGGTCTTGGGGGGTATCGCCTATCATATCTCCTGCGACGACCGAGGGCGAATCCGGAACTGCGAGCTGGTCAGCTTGCGACCGAAGGCTTTCCGAGGCAGTTTGAGCTCCACTACGGCGGACGGAAGCACCAGAATGAACAGGGGGCTTGAATCCGTATATCCACAGAAGGGGAAAGCAATGGAGGCTCGTCCCACGGTCCCACGGTCCCAGCCTCCCAGATTCTCCACCGGGAGAAGGGCCCCCCACCAAAGGAGGAGACACCCCCGGCCGCCGGCCCCCGGTTTTGCAGGCTTGAGTGAAATAAAAATTGCGCCAAAACAATGTCTCCAGACCAGAAAATTTTGGTGATATTGTAATTGCCCCTGATGATTGGATGCCGCAATCAGCGCAGACCCCAAACACCCGAGGTACCACTCGTTAGTGCGAGGGAGACAGGTACATGATAATGGCGACATGAGGACACCTGAACAGGAGTTGCCGCACGCCACAGGTTACAGCTGTCCCGTGGAGTCTGGACTCGTGATGCCCGGATTGGAATCGCAATGAACCGTTTTCCTCCTCCTGTGCGGGACTTTCCTTCTCCCATGCCGGTAGCATAGTTCTTTTGGATCGAACTCGTGTCGCGGGGTCGGTGAAACAGTCTCAAAGATGCGAGGCTGAACCTGATGTTGTCGTCTTTAGCTGGACAGACAGAAGTACCTAGGCCTTAGTAAGGAAGTACCTTCAATCTGTAGCCGTCCTGCGCGCTGCTGCCCGCCGCTGAACTGACAGGAACCTAGCCGGCTGGACGGGACCTCTAGATCAACAGTAAGGTAGCAATGTCCAATCACCCAATGATAGCCGTGTACAACAGTATCAGGTATCTTCCAGCGGCAAGAGTTTTTGGGACATGACTCTGGCTTCTGCAGCCCTGGACGAGATGCAGACTGCATTGCAAAAGTCTGAGACGAGGCCCTTGCGACGGCAAAATACAGTACTCCGTACGCCCTCAAGATCTTTGATTTCTCCGCATGGAGCTGTCCTGGCTTCCCTGGGCTTGTCCTGGTCGTGTGCGATGGACGTCGTCCAGCCGCGTGGGGAAGAAACGGAGAGCCTTGTTGTGGTCGCCCAAAGTCCGGATATCCATACCGTGACACAGGAAGAAGAAAAGGCCGGACAGGCGGGTGGTGGCCGGCGTTGTCGGGTGAGGCAGCAAGTATCGAGTATCCGTCGGTACCTCAAGTATGCGTGGTAGGGAACCTGACTCCAGGTACAAATCTTCACATGTGGAGGCAACGTGAGTGTCGCAGACTCGCAGCCAGTGGCCGTGTGGCTCAGTGCTGCAGCAGCGGTAGCCCCGGGGTCTGGAGGGAGCACACCCGTCTTTATGGGGATTAGCCTCGTCTCCGGGCGGAACCTGACATGAGACGGACAAAGTCCAGTCTGTTCACTCCTGCCTCTTGATCGGCCGTCTTCGTGTGTGATGGATGAGCGTTCGGGCGGGCGGTCGGACCAAGGTAGAGGTAGACACATGCTGTCAATTGAATTGTGCATAATGCTCCCGTTCTCATAGCAATAGACCAAAGTCAAGACGGATGAACGGGACTGTGACCACATTCCAAAGGCCAAGAATTGGGGTAACGAGTTGTATCAACGAGCTCCGGGTGACGGCATGCAGTGCAAACAGATGTCGTAGGAATGTTTATCAGTGACGTTTTTGCACCTCGACTCCTTGCGCTGGGCGACTTGCTATTCGCCATTCGCCCTTGCCGGACGCCGTATCCGACCGCGGTACTTGGTATTGTTCTTGTCATGTCTCGCGTCATTGGTCTCTTTGCAGATGCCTGTATTTGGCCTTTGCCTCCGTCTCGATCATGTTCACCAAACCAAAATCAGTTCCCTGTCGAGGCAAATCAGTCAGCGGATGGACATTGTTCAAGTACCTACGTAGTAGCAGTATCGTGATGCGATGGAGATTCATATGAAATTTGTGCGCGATAGAGAGGGGCCGGTCGAAACAGCGATACAAATGCAAAGGTCGTGAGCGAGGGGGGATAGCAGAGGGGAGAAAAAGAACTCGAGAAAAGGTACATGTGGCTTTGGACAGGGGTGTTTACCTCTGAGCAAAGAGCAGTTGCGGTGCAAGGTCTCCGCAATGCAGCAGGGAACACCGCGATACGGAGCAGGGGAAATGGGACAGAATGGGGGGTACTTTCGGAAGGTACTTTCCTGAGGTCGTCGTTGTTCCCGTGAAAGTGAAGAAAAGCAGCCCCACTCCAGTCCACTGCTGCTCTTTGCTGCTGAGTGAAAAATAATCCAATCTCGCTGATTCGTCCGTTGGCCCGTCGTCGCCTTCGTCATAGCCGAGGAGGCCCACCTTGGCCGACCCTGTTCCTCAGTACCTTCTCCACAGTCCACACAGCAGCGCGGCAACCAGACGGCCTGCGCCCATTTTGAGCCGAGCACGCACCGTGGCCACCCCCCAAAAGCTGCCGCGGAAAGAGCCCAGAGCGAGGTGAAAGAGGGCAAAAGTGAGTGTGATCCGGAAAGAAGGTGCGAGGATTTTTTACTGCCACCCCCATCCGGAAAGACCTAGGCCTGGCTTGCTTTGCCGCCTTTCTTCTAATACTTGACCTCCTCGTCGGAAATTCTCTCCACCTTCTTGTTTTCTTCCTCTTAATATTCTTTTCCTTTCCTCCATCCTCACAAACAAAGTCCCTTGAACAGGCAAGGGCACTTGAGATATCTGTTGCGAGCTTCATCACAGCTCGGACAACTCTCCACTAAAGCTCAATTGACCAGTTTCATTGCTGCTTTCAGTGTCAACACCAATCATGTTGGCTTCACGACAGCTCCTGGGCTCTGTTGCCCGGAGCCGTACTGCCGCCAGTGCCCGTCTGGGACTGCGTGGCATGGCTACCGTTTCTGACTCTCCCCTTGACCGCAAGGTAAGATACTTCCCCCTCTAACGCTAGAAAACCGTGGTCTACGGTGTCTTCTGTCTGGACAGCATGGCCGGGTGCTTCTTTGGCATCGCGTACGTGTTTGCTCGACTTGACAAGGGTGCTGACTCGCCGAAAACAGGTCAAGCAGAACATCCACGAGGAGGGCAACTTCATCAACTACAAGAAGATGTCCGAGAACCTGTCCATCGTTCGCCAGCGTCTCAACCGCCCCCTGGCCTACGCTGAGAAGATTCTCTACTCCCACTTGGACGACCCTCACGGACAAGAGATCGAGCGTGGTGTCTCATACCTGAAGCTCCGCCCCGATCGCGTTGCTTGCCAGGATGCCACTGCTCAGATGGCTATTCTGCAGTTCATGTCTGCTGGCATGCCCTCCGTCGCCAACCCCACTACTGTCCACTGCGATCACTTGATCGAGGCTCAGATTGGTGGCTCTAAGGATCTTGCCCGTGCCGTCGGCATCAACAAGGAGGTCTACGACTTCCTTGCCTCTGCTTGCGCCAAGTACAACATCGGTTTCTGGAAGCCCGGCTCTGGTATCATCCACCAGATTGTCCTCGAGAACTACGCTTTCCCCGGTGGTCTTCTTATCGGAACTGACTCTCACACTCCCAACGCTGGTGGTCTTGGTATGTGCGCTATCGGTGTCGGTGGTGCCGACGCCGTCGATGTCATGGCCAACCTTCCCTGGGAGCTGAAGGCCCCCAAGGTTATCGGTGTCAAGCTCACTGGTGCTCTGAACCCCTGGGTCACTCCCAAGGATATCATTCTCAAGGTTGCCGGTATCTTGACCGTCAAGGGTGGTACTGGTGCCATTGTTGAGTACCACGGCCCTGGTGTCGACACCCTCTCTGCCACTGGTATGGGAACTATCTGCAACATGGGTGCTGAGATCGGTGCCACCACCTCCCTCTTCCCCTTCAACGACTCTATGCACAAGTACCTCACCGCCACCAAGCGTAAGGACATTGGTGACTTCGCGAAGACCTACGCCAAGGAGCTTCGCGAGGATGAGGGTGCTGAGTACGACCAGCTCATCGAGATCAACCTGTCCGAGCTCGAGCCCCACATCAACGGTCCCTTCACCCCCGATCTGGCCACCCCCATCTCCAAGTTCAGCGAGGCTGTCAAGGCCAACAACTGGCCCGAGGATCTCAAGGTCGGTCTGATCGGTTCTTGCACCAACTCCTCCTACGAGGACATGACCCGCGGTGCTGCCATCGCTCGCGACGCTCTCGACCACGGTATCAAGTCCAAGGCCATCTTCACCATCACCCCCGGTTCCGAGCAGATTCGCGCCACCATTGAGCGCGATGGTCAGCTTCAGACCTTCGAGGAGTACGGCGGTATTGTCCTTGCCAACGCCTGCGGTCCCTGCATTGGTCAGTGGGATCGTCAGGATGTCAAGAAGGGCACCCCCAACTCCATCATCTCTTCCTACAACCGTAACTTCACCGGACGTAACGACGGTAACCCCGCCACCCACTCCTTCGTCGCCTCTCCCGACATGGTCGTTGCCATGACTGTCGCCGGCAGCCTCCACTTCAACCCCCTTACCGACAAGCTCAAGGACAAGGACGGCAACGAGTTCATGCTCAAGCCTCCTTCCGGAGACTCTCTCCCCAGCCGCGGATACGACCCCGGCCAGAACACCTACCAGGCTCCTCCCGCCGACCGCAGCACCGTCAACGTCCAGGTCTCTCCCTCCTCCGACCGTCTTCAGATCCTGTCCTCCTTCCAGCCTTGGGATGGCAAGGATGTCAACGATATCCCCATCCTCATCAAGTGCAAGGGCAAGACCACCACTGACCACATCTCCATGGCCGGTCCCTGGTTGAAGTACCGTGGCCACTTGGACAACATCTCCAACAACATGTTGATTGGTGCCATCAACGAGGCCAACGGCGAGGCCAACAAGATTCAGAACTTCACTACCGGCGAATGGGACGCCGTCCCCGCCGTCGCCCGTGACTACAAGGCCAAGGGTATTAAGTGGGTTGTCATTGGTGACTGGAACTACGGCGAGGGTTCTTCCCGTGAGCACGCCGCTCTTGAGCCCCGTCACCTTGGTGGTCTTGCCATCATCACCCGCTCCTTCGCCCGTATTCACGAGACCAACCTGAAGAAGCAGGGTATGCTTCCTCTTACCTTCTCCGACCCCGCCGACTACGACAAGATCAGACCCGAGGACAAGGTCGACATCCTCGCCACTGAGCTCGAGGTCGGCAAGCCTCTGACCATGGTTGTCCACCCCAAGGATGGCAAGGCCTTCGAGGTCAAGCTCTCCCACACCTTCAACGCCCCCCAGATTGAGTGGTTCAAGAACGGTTCCGCTCTTAACACCATGGCCAAGTCCGCTGGCAAGTCATAAACGGACAATGTTACGTTAGCGATACGGGTCAGGGCGATATGTGGTTAGGCGGTGTAGGCGTACCTCTGTTTATTTAGCATGTTCTGGGGTGTCGGTCGGTATAACTAAAGTGTATGGCCGCGTTATGCCCTTTGTTTTGGTCGGGCAAATACCTCTGGGACTATTGTTTTTTCTATGTCATGTAGGCCATGATTTCCTAGTATGTACAAATTTGAAACGTTCAAACAAAATTTCAACGCAATGTGACAATGCGAGAGCGGGTACAAAGGTGTTCAAGCATTGTGAATTCGCATGTGATGTTCTGATACTTCACCAATGATCGATACTCAAAGCACTTTAGAGACCCAGGACGAGTTACATAACGCGCTGTAACGCTGTTACAGGCACGTGATGATAAGAGGTGGATACGTCGTACAACAGGGGTCTTATCTAACATTTTTTGGATCGTCCGAAGAGGTCCGAGTGGACCGGGAGCATGCGACAGGTTGTCTACAATTTCCCAGCTGCAGCAAAACACACAATCTCCGTGGTGCCAACTCAAGCCGATTCTCATGCCTTGTGCTGCCGATTGGACTCATCGCTAGAACGACTTTCGACTTTGAACGCGGCGATTGGTGTTTGCTCGACCGCCAATTTTCCCACTCGACCCTCGACCCTAGACCCTCGACCCCTCTGGATCCCGTGAATCCCGGAGGCGGCGGGCGCGATGGCTTCCAACATAACGTCCTTCAGCACCCTTCGGGCTCGCTCTTACGTATTTCGTTTACCGCTCTTTACGCGCATTGTTCTCCTGGTCATTATCGCAGCATGGTTCGCAGGTCTTCAACATTCGTGGGATGTCAGGCACTGGGGCGCCCTGATTCCTGACCAACTGTCCTTTACCTCTTGTAAGCTTCCCTTGCCTGCCAGGCCGCTTTCTACAGGCGCACTTTGTACTCATTGTATTGTGGCGATAGCATACCGAATGAATACGTTCCCTTTCGTTCATGTGAATCTCATCCATACGGTCATGAATCTGGCGGCTCTCGCGCCATTGATGGAGCGGTTCGAGGCAGAATTCGGCACCTTGACCTCTATCGCCCTCTTCATCGGCCGTAAGATATATCCTGGTCTTCTCTATAAGGCGCGGGCGATTAATTTTCTGCAGCTCTGAGCACGATCCCGGCTATTCTCTACACCTTGATCGAACGGTTTCTCTTCAAGGGCAACACCGAAGTTATGGGAGCTAGGTAAGAAACTATACAGGTGACGCCCGCGAGCGCAAGAGGGATGGAAACTAACGAGAAGAATCACAATGTAGCGTCTGGGTCTTTTTGCTCTTGGGCATCGAGGCGATTCGGACGTACAAGACGAACCCCCACCTGACGATTGCGACGTACTCAATTCCGACGTGGACAACCCCCCTGATCCTCATCCTGGTGGTTACGGCGCTCGTTCCTGGCACCAGCTTGCTTGGTCACCTCTGCGGCGTCCTGGTTGGATATCTCTGTAAGCGACCTGCCCCTATCCTGCTAGAAGGATGTATGACTAACTCAACGTTACCCTTCTAGTCGGCCTCGGCTACCTGAAGTTCCTCAGCCCACCCGAAAAGGCTCTGCGATGGATCGAGTCGAAGCTGAACCTCCTTGGCCGGCTGCCGCACTACGTGAGCGTCGATCAGAAGACATACGGTCGATTCGGGGTCTTGCCCACCAACACCCATGCTGGTGGCGGCAGCGCACCGATTGCGCTTGTTGGCACGACTCAACGACTTGGGCCATGAAAGCATTATGGGTGTGTTTCTTGAAAGCTTGTAATACTACATGGCACACTTTGTCCCGGTTAGGCTGCTTTTTGCACCTTGGTCGGAGTTTGGGAGTTCATAATGCAGGCAAAAAAAAAGTGGCATATATACAAGGCGGGGTAGATTTTGTTTTGTATTGCCAGTTCTCTCTATGAGTGTTTATTTATGATTGTAAACTATATAATATGAAGATTCTCGTATGTCTCATCATCACTGGCATTTACCGGAGCATTTGCGTGTAGGCATACCGTGATACCGTACGGGTTCAATACTCTTGGTCTCTTGATGACCGGTTTCTCCGGCAATGTTGTGTGAAGCGAGAAGGACAGTAGTACAATACAAATGCCATGCCAGTTTGATGGAAGTTTATCTGATCTTTCAAGTTGAATTCGGCTAATGTAAAAGCATGTACGTACCGTACTGCTATGTGACATTAGATGCTCGTCGCCCCCGTTGGCCGGGGCTTATAGAAACCAACCAGACGACTAAGCACGATCACATCTGTCTAGCTAACTTGGCAATAAATCATCTAATGTGGACATCAGATCCTTTCCTCGCCTTGAACCGTATCTTGGAGGTTCAATTTGCAACAGTCGGGGCAGATGTAGCCAAAAAGAAAATCGTTGTCGAAGCATAGCTTGGCTCGAATGCCTTCACCCCACTCTCATCCCATGAAAAGGGGCCCCACTTCATCCTTGCTATCCGGGGCTAATCCGCATACGGTCTAGCCCCATCCGCCAAAATGCTAATAAGAATTTCTGCGCTCGTTCAATCTTTGCCTTTTCTTCTTTTTTTCTCTTCACATTCAAACGTAACACGATCCTGTCAACATAAGCTGCTTGTCAACCTCTTCCATATTTGCCGCATTCCAGGATCATAGTTTCTAGAGTACTCAGCCGCTCGTTTGAGGGTCGTCATCGCTTTGCGCTTCCGTGATGGCCTCCCATGAAGAAGTGGCTACATGCTTCCAACCAAAACATTGAAAACTTGCCGTTGCTCTGATCTCGCCATGCCCTTAAGCAAGAAGCATCACAAATAAGGTAGATGAAAGCCAAGTTGAACGCTAAAAAGTGCTGGATATCTTTTTGTAAAACTTCTATCGATACATCCCACCCTACGCAGGCGCGGGAGTCGGTCCCTTGAAGTATTTGCTAGGGACCAACGGCATCTTGGACACCACGGCTCCCCTCTTCTTGCCTCTCACCACGACGTCCAGCTCGGTGCCGGACTTGTGCAGACCCTCCTTGACGTAGCCCATGGCGATGTTCTTGCCCAACGTCGGGCTGGGCGAGCCGCTGGTGATGATGCCGACCTTCTCCCCGTCCTTTGTAAAGATCTCGGCGCCCTCGCGGGCCGGCGCGCCCGAGATCACGAAGCCCACGCGGCGCCTCTCGATGCCCGCGCCTCCCTTGCTCTTGGGCACGAGCTGCTTGTTGATCACCTCGGCGCCGTGGAAGCCGCCCTTTGTGCGGCGCTCCTTGGGGATGATCCACGACAGGCTGCCTTCGACGGGGGTCGTCGTGTCGTCAATGTCGTGGCCGTACAGGCACATGCCGGCCTCGAGGCGCAGGCTGTCGCGCGGGCCGAGACCCGCGAGCTGCAGCCTCTCCGGGCCGGCGACCTTCAGAAGCGTCTCGGCGATGGGGCCGGCCTCGCCGTTGGTGGACTTGAAGGAGATCTCGAAGCCGTCCTCACCCGTGTAGCCTCCGCGGCTGATCATGGCCTTTTCGGGCGTCGATTGCCACTGGCCCTGGCCGTCCTGGTACCGGAGGCGGGCGAAGCCCGTGTTGCCAAAGTAGAGGGTGCTCAGGTCCAGCCCGTCGGCCGGGTCGAGGACCTCCTGGAGGATCTCGGCGCTCTGGGGGCCCTGGAGGGCGACGAGGCCGTAGCCCTCGAGGACCTCCCACCAGAAGTCGGTGCCCTCGGGGTTCTGGAGCGCGGCGGTGTGCTCGGTGAGGTAGGCAAAGATCTTTTCGCGGGTGCCGGCGTTGGAGACGACGGCGTACTCGTGCTCGCCGAGGCGGGTGATCATTGTGTCGTCGACGATGCCGCCCGTGCCCGGGTGGAGGAAGGTGCTGAGCTTGCTCGTGTTGAGCTCCATGTCGGCGACGCTGGAGGGGGTGACGGTCTCGAGGAAGGCGGCGGCCTTGGGGCCGGTGAAACGGTGCTGGACCATGTGGGAGACGTCAAAGAGGGAGGCGTGGGTGCGGGTGAAGTGGTGGGACTCGGCGAGGGACTGGCCGGCGTACTGGACGGGCATGTGGTGGCCGCCGAAGATGACCATTTTGCCGCCGTGGGCGACGTGGAAGTCGTAGAGGGGGGTCTTGTCCTGCTTGGAGAAGGCGGCGAGCTTCTCTTTCCAGTTGGCGCGGGATGCCGAGCTGTACAAGCGGTGGTTGTTGTGTAATTGTGATGCTCCCGCCGTTCTCGGGGCCGGGGCCGTGGAGCTCAGTCCGGCGACGGATGCGAGGGACCGGCCCTGGCGAGCGGGAGAGGCCAAGAAGGGCCTTGCCGTCCGGGCGGCTGCTACCAATCTTGATCGTGTCATTTTCAAAAGTCCAATTGAGCTGGTATATTGGTGAAAAGATTGAGAAATGAACAGAAAGATCAAGGTTTCAAGAGGAGGAGGGGAGGAGGCCCCAAGGTATGACGGAGAGCTTTCCCTTGTACCGATAAGGTATTCGGATGCGATAAGATGAGGCGGGTCCGAAGCTGGCTGAGCTCTCTGGTGTTTGATTGGTGAATTGGGCGGAATCGTCTCGGTCCAGGATCCGAGCGCTCGGTATGGCACCCGCCGACCGGCGGTCTCGCACTTCTGAAAGTATGAATGTTGGTTGAGGCGGTCGGGTGAGTTTCCTCTGCGGCTCGTTCAACGGGCAGATAGCCGCGCGGTCTGTTATCTGCGTCTCGTACACAGTCGTCCCCTCACTCTATCTTAGTAGCTTGTCTTCCCATCCGCAGATAGATGTGTATCTCAAAAAGTAGCATCGAGTCATTGGCACAACTCAGCTGAGCGCTGTTGGTATCTCGGTGATAGTTACCTGGTGGAAGAGCTGTGTTAGTTGCATTGTAACATACTAATGAGCCAGTATCTGTCGAATGCCTCTCTAGCTATCGTACAGATTTCGCCCTCGAAGAGTGAGTTTCGCTTTACGATACGATACCGAACAAACACCACTGGGCTCATTCCTCTTTCTATTGGATCAAGAAACCCCCT